CTTGAACACTTCAGCTTGGCAAAGCAGTGTTACTGATCCCTGAATCCACTGCCCCCTCCCCAGAGGGGAGAAAAATTTCTGATTTATTTGCATTTAGAAGTCACTGGTGTTGGAGTGAGAGCTGGAAATGTCCTGCAGGTCTTGCCATCCTCTCCACCCACCACGGGCACCTTTCTTTCTTTTCCTCTGCTTGTCTCTAACTCCAACACAACCCAAATCTCTTGGGTGTGGGAACCATAGAACCAGAGGTCTCACTGTCTGCAAGGTGGGGGAGAGGTGGATTTTCCCATCTGTGTTTATATATTGAGTCAGTGACAGTATTTTAAAAGTCCATGAGGCTCACAATGACCCGGGTGGATTAAGGGTCTAACCCAGTGACAGGCAGATTGTGCACAGCTACTTTCCCACAGTTAATTATTTTAAATAATTCACAGCAAAATTTTCTCATTGATTCACACGTCCCCCAAATTTAACATCAAAAGTCAAAATCCCTGTTTGAAATTCCAACATTTGAAAGCAACCTGGGCTGGCAACTTGCAAACTCAAATCAAGTTCAAGCATCTCAGGGCTTTCCAGCTTCTCACAGGGTTTTTTAGGAACCACACTCAGCTCCAGGCTGCAGGTCCTCAAACACCTGCCCAGGTTCAGGTGCATTTCCATCTTATTTTTAAGAATGGCAGCTGTATCCTGACTGGAGCACCCACAGGTTAATACTGCACTTGGACAGGTACAGAGATCAGGATTGCAAAAGATCCATACTCATCAAATGTCCAAAATATCCCCCAGTAAGAAAAGCTGCACCTAACTTGCCCATGTGTTTTTAGAAATTTGAGAGGATTAAATCTTTCAAAGCACTTGGTCCTGATGCTCTTTGAGTCCTTGCAGGTGCCAGCAATAGGATGACAGGTCCTACACAGCCAGGAGCAGAGAAAACCCCACACCCGAGTGACTGCTGCCACACCCTGAGCCCTCTGGTTTTACCTGCATGGCTGATCACACCAAACCCTCCCAAAACACTTCCCATTTCTCAGGAACTTCATGCATTTTATGGTCTGGACCAAACCCTGGGTCCAAAGCCAGCTCCACTAATCTGTGTCCCTCTGGGAACACGAGTGCCAGCCCAGGGCAATGCCACACTGGGCACTGCAGCTTTTCCATGCCTGCCCTGTCAGGCAGCATTTCCCCACTGTGCCGACCTTCAAAGCACAGAAACGGAGCCAAAAGCCCCTTAATGCCCAAGTGGAACATCTCCTGCCTGGCTCCTGTCTCCCCAGGAGGAGGGATGAGTGCAGGCTCCGGATAACACCACTGATATTACCTGACCCAGAGCTCCCGTGCTGCAGGGATCTGGCACACACCAAGCCCTCTGTGTCCCTAACAGGGTGTGAGGATAAAAGCTGAAGCCAAACAGATGGTCTTCAAAAAAATCTTCCCTAAAGTGTTCTGTGTACTAAAACATCACTTACCCAAACTCTCATCAAACTTGGCTTGATTTGTGAATCGCGAGCCAAGTTTGGAAGAAAAATATTCAGCTGGAAATATGGTGGTGGGGGGAAAGAGGGGTTTTTTTGCTGCACTTAAATAATATAAAATGAAACCATTTTGTTCAAACCTTAGAAATATTTAAGAAAAACAGAACCCAGCCCTTGTGTGTTTAAAGCAAGCACAGGTGGGGGGTGGTAATCAACACAGAACACGAAATGCTGAGCAAATGTAAAAAGAGAAGGGGAAGGACAACTGGAGCTCTAATGTATAATGACCTATCAACACATGCTGTAATGCACACAAAATTTCAGGGAAGGAGGAAATCACATCTGCAGGGAATATGGGCAGCTATTGTTTGAAGCCCAGGGTGGTGTTGCACAACCCTTGAGGGCCCGATCCCGCTGCCACACGGCCCCAAATGCAGCATTTTCTCCTCAGCAGCAACAACTGGACACTCAAAATAGCAGCTACTCATTTTAACAGCCTGCTCAGGATTGACAAGTGGATATTATATCCAGTTAATAAAAGAATTAGGCACCAGTAAAATATTCCCACTGAAAATGATACATTTTCTGAATTGAAAAACAAACAAAAAAAAAAAGATGCCAGGAGAAATGAACCCCAACTAAATAAACAGCATCACACACTTGTACAAATTGAGGTATTTCCATAGTAGCTTCTCTTGAGCATCTGTATTTTATTTTTTAAATGTTCTTCCCTATCTAGGATGCTGAGAGGCCAAGGGGGAAAGGCCCCAAGTAGTTGAATATTAGGAAAAAATTTTTCACTAAAAGAGTGGATAAGAATTGGATCAGGCTTCCCCTGAGCAGTGTTGGAGCCTCCATCCCTGGAAGTCTTAAAGAAATGACTGGATGTGGCAACCAGGGCTGTGGTTTATTGTATAAGGTGGTGCCCAAAGGCTGGACTCGATGACCTTGGGGGTATTTTCCAGCCTAAAGGATTCCATGATTCTACAGAAAGTGTTGGCACCAGCACAGGCATCTTTTAAACAGGAAAAAAGCAACAACATTTCTGAAATGGTGCCACCATGAAATCCTGGCCTTGGTTTGATGGAGCTTTGACTTGAGCTGGGGAAGGTGGAGAGAAAAATGGACCTGCCCAATAAAAACTGACCTGATCAGTTCTCTCCAGACACAAAACACTTAATCTACACTTAGGAAACCCAAGATTCTTTAAATATAACTTAATTACATATCCGCATTTAAAATTGGGGTTTGCCTGTCAGTAATTTAAACTTTTATAGGAAACACCTAAATCACGAGATGTCCTTGAAAAAGCACATCCCAAGTGTATTAAAGTAAAATATGGTTAGAGATAAGCAATTTTACTTTTTTTCCCTCAGTAAATGGAATTTTCTCACTGCTGCTGAGCAGTTCTGTGTGTTTGTGCCATTAGACTCTGTGAATTATCTCACATATTTTTGCACAGTGTATGGGCCCTCAACGAGAAAGTCATTAGCTTAATAATCATTGCTGACAGACTCCAAGTGAGAGATTCCAACAGACACTGCAGCGACTCCTGGGGTAAATAAAAGGACAGTTTTATCTCCAAGATGGGAGAGAAGGCTGCACTGAATGATGAGTGTGCTTTCCCAGGGACTAATTGTTAAGCAGGAGTATTTACAGTGAAAGGATTGGGGAATGGGGCCATCATTGCCAGGCAATTATCTGTACACAAATAACTTTAATCCCTTGGCATTTTTATAGCCACTCCATTATTCATTTTACCATATATCCTATTGCAATAGCATTCCCCTCTTACAAGTACATACTTTTTTTGACTTCATATACGATTAAAATAAAACAGAGGAACACTTTGAAACGAGTTGAAGAACAATAGATCCCATTTAGCCATCAAATACAGCAGTATTTAACTTTTGTGCTTTTGATCAATATTTATGTGACAAGCTATTCATTACTCTTCTCCTCTACCACTGAAGCTGTTGTTCTTCCCACAGCCTGATGTGCACTTTTGTGTATTTAATTTATAAGTTTCCATGGAAAAGAAGTATTCAAAGGGGGGGAAAAAAAGTGCTGATACAGCACGTGGATCTTTCTACCAAGCCACAAATCTTTTCTAGTGTTCATCTTAAACTGAAAGTAATTCTGGGAAACAAATTAATGATATAAATCACATTATCATTACTCACAGAGTGATACTGGGTTGTAACTCTCTCAGAGAGCTCCAGTGAGTAGCTTAAAGGCCTCTCTCTGTATGGAGAATGCCTGTTTCTAATTAAATAATCTAAAAATAGAGTTGCACATACATCTAGGACCAAGCCATCTGTGTTATCTCTCCAAGATAAGCCATTCTACACCCACTCTGATATCCCTTTCATCACTGCACAGATTCAGAACTGGGCCTGGCCCTTCTCTCCTATTTAGGAAGGGACAGAGGAGAAGAAGGAACAATTTTAATCTAGACAAGCTTTTTTTGAAAGTCAGAGCCCTTGTTTGGAAATATCTTTTCACACCTACTTGTGTCAATCAGCAACGTGATCCAAAGCCACGTCCTGCAAGCAGTGGCAGTAGTCAAGCAGGATTTCTCCATGGAATACTTTCCCAATCCAGCAAGAAAAGCTGTTTCTAATTGGCTCTCTGGGCTTTTTGCATTGTTTTTGCTTGTTTTTGGTTTTTTTTTTTCCTCCCTCCTTTTTTTTTTTTTTTCTTTTTTAACTATTTAAAAACTTTACCCTTTCCCTTCCTCATCCAAATAATTCAAAGAATGACATAAAAAGTGAGGTGGAATCAAACTGAACCTGAGTTAAAAGGTTGGGTAAGAGATTCCCAGGATACATTTGGTGATAATAAACAACAAACTGCCTTCATACTTCAAGAAGGAGACAAAACCCAGCCTTTTTTTCCTAAGTGCAACTTCCTATATCATTCACAAATGTCTGAGGGGAAAAAAGGAGCAAAGTTTACCAGGGCCTGTCAAGAGGGGGAAACACTCTCAGAGCCAGTGGCAGATCCTGCCCTTGTTAGGAAAGGGGAAGCAGAGTGTGAAGGGAGAGTCACCCCTCACTCCCAGTCCAGCACAGGGATGGAATTTGGGGGTCTCCCATGGGATAATTAAGCCCAGATAATGCCCCAGGCTGCAGCCAGCACAGCAACCTTATTTACACTGGTCCCTAAATTCCTTGCTGTCAGACTGTATTCACCAAACAAACGTGTTTGGTGTGCTTGCCCCTCCCTCAGTTTTCCTTTTGCTGTTGCATGACAGAATCTCAAGCAATTAAATTGCTGTTATTTCACTTTAAACTTTCATTTCTGCCATCAGAAAGAAGAATGTATCTCTGCAGGAAAAAGGTATTAATTTCAACCAAAACCCTTACCCATGTCTTAAATTAAATAAGCAGCAGTTTCAGATATGTGGCAACAACGATATAAAAACACTCTTATCACCTATAGGATGAAAGTGCATTAAATTCTCCCTACAGCCTTTAAAATTGTTACACAGCTAAGAATAAACAAATAGGCGAAATGAAGACTAACCTTTGAATAAATGCCATTCACTGGTCTCCACTGCTCTCCATTCAAAAGGAAGGGAATTGTTATCTCATAATCTTTGGACTGCTCCTTTGACACCGGCAGCCTTGGGGACTCCACTTTGCTGTCCACATTCTCACCTAGGGACAGGGAGAAGCACTCAGGTTAGCTGGGAAGAGCATCTGGCAAGGTGAGCCTTGGTATTTGAGGGACTTGGCAGCATATTCAAAAGGGAATAATCCAGGAAAAGGATTAAACATGGAACTTGTAATGTCAGAGTCAAAACCTACAGGAATTTCAGAGTGAACCTGTGGAATCAGAGGGGTTCAGGGGGGAGGTGGAGGGGGATTAGATGGTGGCAGCAGAAGACAAAGACTGCACGTTGAGAGCAGAGATATCAGGATGCAAGGATATCATCGTGGAGGATGCACAGTCTCACTAGTTGGGGGGAAAAAAAGGTCTGGAAGAGAAAGAGAAGATCAACTCATTGAAATAACACTCTACTCCTACACAGGCAGATGACTTCCATTCATACCACCAGGTCAAAAAGCTGTTTGCATTCAGCATTTATCAAATGTTTCTGCTCTCCACAAACACATTAATGGCATTGTGCCTGCCCAGACAGAGCCCTAAAACCAATATCACAGGACAAGAGCTGGAAAAATAACTGAGAATAAATCAAAGAGAAGACAGGGATGGCTTCCAGGTGCCACAAAACTCTGCTGGGGTTTGCCACACTCCCTGTGCTCACCTAATGCTCTCCTGAAGGATGAAGAGGCATATTCTGAGCAGAATTACCCCCATTTAATCACTGTTAGGATTAGCTTAAAAACATGTGTGCTGTCATTATGGCTAAGCCAATGTGAGCAGAAATAAAATCTGGTCTTTTTCAACGTGCTTTAAAAAATACAACACTTGACCTAAAACACACCAAAAAAACAAACAACAAAATAAAACCCAAAACAAAACAAAACCAACCCCCCCAAAAAAAAAACCCAAACAAAAAAACTACCTCACAAGATAAAAAGATAAAATCTATTGGAGAGAGGACAGTTGTTTGCTATACAGAGTTCTTACACCCTTTTAATGCAGCTCAAGTGACTGCGGGCTGGGAGGACACAGTGTCAGCCCTTAGAAGAGATGATCCAAAGCTGGCCCAAGATTTGGTTGTCCCCTGGGGAGGCACATGAGACACCATCTCATCAGCCTGGGAGGGTCTAGACAGAACTCCAAGCCTTTATTCTCATTATCAGGCAGGAAGCTCCCTGCTCAGAACAGGAATTTATGAAGCATATCTCAGCAAAATGAGAAAAGTTTGGCTCCAGCCCTGCTCTCCTTTCTCCTTGGCCCACTTGAGCAACATCAACCACACAAATTAAATGACTCAGGCCCTTCTGTTATTTTGTAGGATTTGCATTCTGAAAGTGCCATGAGATCCAAGTTTTCAGAGCCCCTTGGAGGATCCTTATCCTCCCGTGGATGCGTTGTCTGCACGGCTTCCACCATGCCCGACACCACGGAGCTGCCATGGTGATATCAGCAAACATCAAAGTCTCCCTGACACTCCTCCATGGGCCTGTCCTGACCATTCTGCAGAGCATCAACTTCCCAGCATCACCCAAAACAGCAGAAAAAAGGGAGGGGATCAGCATTTCTGCACAGATGTGTTATTCCCTAAACAGACAGCCTGGCCTGGAAGTGCAGCAGCTATAAAAATACAGTGGGAAAAGGGAGGAAAATCCAACGGGAGAAGGGAGGAAAATCCACACAAAGTGTGGTTCAGTTTTGCCACTCCCTCTTCTCTTCCATCCCAATGAAGTGATGCTCGTGGTGCATAACAAAGCAAGGTTACAACGAGCAAATTTAATCTGCCACCCGTGCTTATTTATCTGCTGAAAAGGCTCATTGTGCACAAGTGTTGATAGTCTGGAGACAGACATCAAGACAGGTTTATAGGCAGCAGTTATATCTTTATTGGAAAAGATAATTTATTTGGGGGGAAACAAAGCAGACAAGCTTCAGGGTTTGCAAATCTTCTGAAGCCACAGCATTTATAAAACACGAGATCAATTTCTGTCTAGTTGCTTTCCCTGAGCCAGATACTTGGCTGCTTATCTGAATGTTTTTATTTAAATTATTGGGTGTGATAAAAATCACAGCTTCCTGTGGAAGGCAGAGGAAGCAGTGCAGCCCAATTTTGGGCCTCATTCTGGAGATAATTTGGGCACAGGCATTGTGCACTTGCTTAACTCCCAGCTGCCCTCAGTGTGATATAAGCACAGCACGGTGCCTTTTGTATATCAAATAATGTTTTCCTCATGAAATTTCATTATATTTATGGACTGGGTATATTTCTGAAAGACTGCAAAATAAAGAAACCTGTATAGCTGATAAATAAACTCTAACCCAGTCTTTAAATTAAAAAAAAAAAAAAAAGGATGGGGAAGATAAAAAGGTAAATCCTTTAAATAGGTTTCTGCAGCCTGATTCAAATAACAGGGGGCAGAAAATAAGGGATCATAGCCAGGGAAGAGCAACCCACACTTATCCTGAGGAGGAGAGATCTGAAAGGCCACTGAGCAATGGCACACAGACATGGGGAGAGGAATATTCTACATCAGGAGGAAAAAACCCACAAAAAAAATGTAAGGAGAGAGTCAGACCAAAGGAAAGGGAAAAAAAAGGCAGAAATAGTGCAGGAAACTTGGGGAAAAATGGGATAAAACCAGGTGGGTACAAAGGTGGGATAGTTCCTGGTACCCTGGAGAGCCTTTGGCCCTCACCTCAGCTGGAGTCACCAAGGAACCCATCCCAGCCAGGGACACTTCACCCACTCCTTGCACAGCATCTGAACAAAACCCATCCCCAGCCTCCTTCTGCTGTTTCTGGGACCCATCCCTGAGCACAAACCCAGCCCTCCCAAAGAGCATCATCCCAGGGGCACCAGGAGAGGAGCCGTGGAATGGGCCCAGCATCTGCACCAAGGAAGGGTTTGGTTTCCATCGCCCAAAACCATCCCCCAGCTCGCAGGGCTGCAGCTCCTCACGCACACAGAGCTGCTGGTATTTCCTCTCTGCCACTCTGCATCTCCCTTCCCCACTTTCAGGAGCGTTTCTTTGAAGCTGAACCATTAGAGTTGTTTGTGTTCCATTAATAATGAGGCCTCTTCTCTACAGGGACTCCTGGTACTACAGCAGTATAAACAGGGTAATAATTGAAATCAGAGAATTGAAATTTCGGTAATGTGTCATGAGAGGAGAAGAAAATCAGGCCATCTGCAATACCAGAAAGTTAGATTAGACCCAGGTTTCCTATCTTTCGTGTCACATGCACCTACTTACTCACCTACTTATTTTCCATTTCAGTGAAATTCTGTCCAGCTCTTCCTGACGCAAGCTCGTCTCCCACTTTTTCACACGAAAAACTTCACAGTTGTGTCTGTTTTCTATTTTCAGCCTGAACTGAAGGTAATGCTTTTGATCCACAAGCAGCCCACAAGGTGATGCAGTGCCCTTTATTCTCTTTTTTAACCCCAGTAATATAAAAGCTACTTTGTACAAATAGTGAGATGAGTAGATGTTACCTGTCAGTGACTTTTGTGTGGCTTAAGGATTTTTCATCTGCCATGTACTTCTACAACATTTCTGCTTTGCACAGTATCATACAAGGCCTTGTTGGCAAAGAAGTTAAGAATGGTTTTCATCTTTTTGCTTTTTATTTCAGTTCCTCCAAGCTCTGTGCAAAATAAACTCGGAGTATGTGATGTGACATCTTTGCTTAGCGGCCACTGCCTCCTGAAACAACCCAGACACTCTCCAGATTTGCATTTACTTAAAATTAATAAGCTTTTAGTGAGGCAGGGCAATTTATTTGTCCTCATGACAAACAAAGAGGTGAACGCACCCAATGCTGAGTAGCTCTGGATAAAATGGGATTAAGTGCAAGGAAAACAGAACACGTCCCACTGAATGCACACCCCAACCCTGCTGCCAGTGCCCCCCCAGCACAGAGCAGGACAGGAGTCAGACCTGGGCTGGTTTATAAACAACATCCATCTCTAACACACAGATTTACAGAAGAGTCAAATGTGGTGCTGAGCTCCCTCCCCGCTGGGGATGGGCCTGTTCTGGTCCCACACAGCAACAGGGGTACACAGAGTAACATGGTTCAGAGAATCCCACAATGGTTTGGGTGGGAAGGGACTGTCAAATCATCCCCTTCCACCCCAGCCATGGCAGGGACACCTTCCCCTGTCCCAGGTGCTCCCAGCCCCAGTGTCCAGCCTGGCCTTGGGCACTGCCAGGGATCCAGGGGCAGCCACAGCTGCTCTGGGCAATCTCTGTCCTAGGGCCTCAGCACCCTCACAGCCAACAATCCCTTCCCAATATCCCATCTAAATCCACCAACTTTCAGTTTAAATCCATTCCCTGTGTCCTGTCCCTCCATGCCTTGTCCCCAAGTCCCCTCTCCAGCTCTCCTGGAGACCCTTCAGGCCCTGGCAGGGCTCTGAGCTCTCCCTGGAGCTGCTCCTCTCCAGGTGAACAGCCCCAGGTGTCCCAGCCTGTCCTCACAGGAGAGAGGCTCCAGCATTCCATCAATCTTGAGGTACTCCAGGACTGACACAGCCTCAGAGCCCCACAAAATCCCAGCCCAGCCAAGGTCCCAGTGATCTGTGAGGAGTCCATTTCCATCCCAGACTGGAGCTCTGTCTCCTCACACTGTCCCCAAACACCCCTCATGTCCCCACTTACTGCTGAGCTATGAAAATTACAGAAGTGGGGGAATAAAAAAAGATTACATTAAATTATCCTTGTATTACCTTTCCTACTAAAAACCAACTATAAATCGTAAGTCACAGCCTGTCCTCGTTTTTCTCTGCAGCAAAACACCCAAAGCAGTGGAATAATCTTTGGATTGAAAAGAATGGAACAGAGAGTAATCTTTCTGCAAACTGAAATCAGCTAATGACTGTGCTCTGTGCCACAGGCAATGCCTGGGAAGTCAGGAAGGACATCCTTTATCCATTTCCCTCCTCATTTTCTTCATCATTTATCCATTTCCCTCTTCCTTTTCTTCATCCTTTATCCATTTCCCTCCTCATTTTCTTCAGCTTCCTCAGTTTAGCTCTCAGTTTGTGGCA